GCCACACAGAAAGTACTCCCCACAAGGACTGATCTTAGCAGGCCCTCACTTCCCCTTCCTTGTATAAGTTTCCAAACTGAGCAGTTCCCCACTCCTCACGCAGACATTTCTTTTCTCCCATTACAGGGTTTCTCCGTGTAGCCCTGGCTGCCCTGGAACTTGTTCTATCGACCAGGCTGGTCTCGAATCAGAGATCTGTCTACTTCTACCTCCCGGGTGCTGGGGTTAAAGGCATGCACCACTATCGCCCGACTCGCACAAACTTTTCTGCCAAGAATATCTTCCATTTAGTTCCTTAGTACCATTGTCCCCTTCGCTCAAGTCTAAAGGGTACAACACCCATTCTACATGGTACCTGCTGTTCAGGATCATGGGCTCCAGCCCCTGGAAATTCAGGAAGATGGAAAGCAGTGGAGCAAACAGGGGTGACAAGACAAAGACTCACAGATTTCTCCCAGGTGTACAGTTCAGTACAAGAAGATCCAGAGACAGCCTTGGAGGAGCTGACAGATCAACCTGTTGTAGACTTCCTTGCCTTACTTCATGGTAGCCTAGATGCAGCTTCCATAAGGCTCATAAGATACTCTGTGAATTTGTGATGGGGCCATCCCCTTACACAAGGAAGTCACAGCACTCAGCATCAGAGCTGCAGGTGGAAGAGACACAGGCAGTAGAATGCTGAATTTGTGGAGTGAGGTGAGTTTCCAGTGAATTCTCTAGACTCGGTGCCTGGTCTCAGCAGCATCCAGAAGCCAGTGATCAAGATAATGCTCAGAGGAACCCAGTCCTCTTCCACTGAGTGTGCAGTACATTCTTGACACCTCAAGAGTATCTCCTGAGTCTAGGAATGAGGCGACCTTAACAGTGTGTCAAGCCGGGGATCCCTACGTGTGTTGCAGGAAGGGGAACTTAAGCTGGGAGAGGGGTAACTCAACCTGGCTAGAAGCTGGTATCTTTGTGCTTAACCATGAGAATAAAATGGAATCCAAATGGCCAAAATTGTGGTTTCAAGGCAGATAAGGTCATCCCTCTCCCAAGGGCAGCACAACTTAACACAGATCCCCTTCCAGGGTCTAGAGAAGAGTGAGACAATTCTTCTTCTTCTTCTTTTTAAAGACAGGTCTCACTGTGTATCCCTGGCTGACCTGGAACTCACTGACCTGAAACTCACTATGTAGACCAGGCTAACCTCAAAAATCACAGTGATCCACCTGCCTCTACCTCCCAAGTGTGGATTAAAGGCTTGTGCCACCATGTTCAGTATCACCAGGATGAAGGAGATGATCCAATGAGTAACAGTACTTGTTCTGTGAGCAAGGAAAACTGAGTTCAAACCCCTAACACCCATATAAAAAGCCATACTTTACTGCACTGCCTAGAACCCTAGCCCAGGGATGGGGGACAGAGATTAACATTCTGAGAGTTTGCAGGCCAGCCAGCCTAGCAAGCATGACTATCTTTCAGTTCAATAAGAGATCCTGTCTTAAGGCAATAATCTAGAGAACCATAGAAGACATCCAATGTCATTCTCTGTCTTCTGCATGTGTGTCCATGGATACATACTAGCATACTCACATGCATAACACACACACACTTTTTTTGTTTGTTTTCGAGACAGGGTTTCTCTGTGTATCTTTGACTGTCCTGGAACTCATTCTGGCCTCGAACTCATAGAGATCCTCCTGCCTCTGCCTCTTGAGTGCTGGGAATATAAAGGCGTGTGTCACCACGACTGGCTCACACACTTTTCTTTAATTAGCCAAAAAAAAAAAAAATCCTCTCCCCGGTCACCTTCCCTCACTGAGACGCATTCTGCAAAGCTTGGTGACTGTCATCTTCCTGGCTGCCCCCTTGGGGCACCTATTATAGCTGAGGGGGTTGCACACTCTACCATCAAACAAGGCAAAGCCAACCCTGGAGTACCCGGGTACATCCATATATGCCCAAACTGGATGAAGGGCAGTCTTGCAGTTAGTGGGGCTTGAGAAACAAACGGGGTCAGGGCTGCTGGAGCTAGGAAGTGGTATGACTGAACCACACAGATCACAAGATGAAACAAAACAAAACCACACAATACTCTGTAAATATTCTTCGGTACAGTGTAAGCATCAAGCCTGAAGTCCCTGTCACACCATGATCAGTCCTGGCCCCAAGGAAGTGTTCTGCAAGCAACAGGAGGTTACTGGAGTCAGCTCTAGTCAAAGTTTTCACAAGTACACCAAAGTAAGCAACACCGTGAGGGCCCACCGAGTGACAGGAGCAGTGGGCCACGTGGCTCAACCCAGCTGCACCTGAGTTCCAGCTGGTGCCGGCAGGCCACCAGGTGGCCAAGTAAGTAGGGGCACACGCCGGCTGGGACACCCTCACAGCCGGTGAGGAAACAATTCATCTTGGAGAAGCACTCTTTGAAAACCGCCCAGTACTTGCCCAGGATCTCAGGGTGGGCGGAGCGCCGCTGCTACAGGGCGATCCTGATCCTACACACCCCTCACTTACACACCTCTCACCTCCCACCTGTCGCTGGGCCATGTGGGTTCTGCAGATGTCTCTGTCAACCGTCTCTAGTTTTGTATGCTGGCTGGGAGCTCTGGAGCAGGAACGCAGGATGGGTGGCAAGGCAGAGGTATCCTGCACTCTAGATCTTAGGATCTGAGGGCCACAATAAGCCTAGAGAACTGGTGCTTCATCCCAGCCCGGCTCACGTCTTTCCCATGCGCGTTCAGGATGATGGTCTGGAACAGAACCAGGCTCGCGTTGATGCGCGCTAGTCGCCACTTCTCCACGACCAGCTTGGAGGTCTATTAGGTGGAGCAGCGGCTAAGTGTGGTGTTTAGTTGTCCCTCGCTCAATCTTGCGGGTTTTAGGATGCGCTGTCCGACTCGTCTTGGATCCAGCTAGGGCTGGTCAGAGCTCCTGCGAGGGGTGAAGCAAGCGTTCGGCTTCCCTGGAATGTCCACCAGCATAATGCACCAGGCGGCCTAGTGAGCGCAGAGCTGGTGCACTCCTACAAACTTGAACCTGGAGCCTGTGCATTGAGGGCTTTAAAAAGGCAGTGGAGCGGCGGGGCCTGTGAATTCTACTTGGTTTCAGTTCCCACACTCCTCTCAGCCAATAGGAGGGCCAGTCTCTGGCCCGGCCTGTGGCAGGCCTCTCTGGCTGTTACGTGCAGCAGCCAACCCCTCAACCACCTCCTCACCCCTCCCCCTGCCTGACCAGTGACAAAGGTGAACCGGACGCCAAAGTCCACTACTGCAAGGGAAGAGCACCAAAAGGAGCCCTCTGGTTAGAGGGCGCAGTAAGTGTGAGCCGGGTGGAGGCTCCTGGCTTACTTCCCTTCAGAGAGGAAGCACCCGGTGGATAAGGGATGCTATTCATGATGGCCTCATAGGATATCTAGAAGGAAATTTCTCCAAAGGCTAGAAGACAAATTCTCAGGACTGTGAAGCCTGAACCCATTGTACCTCCTCCCGGTCCCACCCAAGGCTCCAGCAGTTTCAAGCCGGCCCCTTGTCTGCTCAGCTGCAATGCTCATGTGCAAAGCAGTTTCCAACAAGGATTCTGAAACACAGACACTTAGGGACAAAGGTGGGTAGATGGACCAACACCAGCCACTGAGACTAGAGGGAGGTCAGCTGGTCCCTGTCAACCACCTGATAGGTGACATCAGCTTATATGGCAGGGCAAGAGGAAGGACAACTTCATGTAACGTAAAGATAAAGATATCAGGGTGACACAGACCAGGATGATATCATGGAGCTAATGATAGATTCTAGACTAGCCCACTACTAACTAAATCCAGCAAAAAAAAAAAAAAAAAATGAAGGCAAGCTGGACATAGTTGCTCATGCCTTTAATCCCAGCCACTCAGGAGACAGAGGCAAGCAGATCTCTGTAAGTCCGAGGCCAGCCTGGCCAATAGAGGGAGTTCTGGGACAGCCAGAGCTACATTGTGAGACCCTGTCTCAAAACACCCACCCGAAAAAAAAAATTATAGCAAATTTAAAATCTTTCTGTTTTTTATTTCCCAAAGGAGAATGAGAAAACAGGGCCATTATTATCTTCATGGTTGCTATTATTTTCATTCTGAATTACACTGCAGGACATACAGACATCACACACCTCAGGTTATGAATCGCAGCATAGCCTGGCAGCTGCCTGCATGTATTCATCCAATGGAGGTGGCCTGAGACCACAGTGGACGCCAGACACCCTACTTTCATCTCAAATCTGTCTTAGTAAATCAGAGAAAATAAGCGACTTGTTTGTTGGGTTAGAGAAAACGCCCTCTATTGGGTGGTTCCAAAGCCTTCACAATTGGTTCTTCAGAGGGAAGGAAGTTTTCAAGAGGCCAGGAGGAGGGAATGGCACTCCCAGAGCATTCTAGAAAGGGAACACAGTGAAGAAGGGAAAGGGTATTCTAAGGATTGCAGGACAGGGGCTTCTGGGCCCAGGATGGATCTGGGGAACCTTGAGGAGCTTTTCTGGATAATAGAGTAAGCCAGTGGTGCTGAAAAAGTATTCATTCACCTAGTGTGGGGGGTTGATGGCTGGAAGGTGGCCTCTAACCAATGACTGCTTCAGAATCCTTGAAAAGGACCATACTAGGTACCTTTCCAGAAGCTGCCTTTTTCTCTGAGGCCAATCCTAGTCTGGTCAATTCTGCTTCTCAGTACGGAAGACCTTATATGACCCCAGAGCTGAACCATACCTCGAAAGTCACTCCTTCCATGACTGGAGATGCGTGGAGAACAGATGTCCAACACGCCACACACGCCACCACCCACTCATGCCTTGGGGTTGACAGCAAGGCTGGGCTGTCACGTTTTCAGCTGTGGGCTTATGCTGAGCCTTAGGAAGGGGTCTATGTGGAATCCTCCTGACCTCTGCCTAGCAGAGACTAGACAAGCAGGGAACAAAGAGGGAACCCCATTCTCTCTCTGGTTGCCCTACTGATGGTTAAGTTTAGCTTGTGAAATGGGTTGTCTTTGTTCGTATAGTCACTGGAAAGAAAAATAAGATCCTACTCCTTTAAAAATGTTTGATATTGGCCTGGGGAGATGGCTATGTGGGAAGTGACTGAAGAAGACACAACATTAATCTCTGATCTCCAGGTGTACGAGCACACGTATTCGTACATCCATGTAAAATAAATACATAAACAAAATTTATATATCCGATTCTTTCTGCTAGACTCTAAGGGCACCTGCACTCACATATACACAAACATATACAAACCCCCATCCCATAGCCACATAGTTAAAAATAAACCTTAAAAAATAAACTGAGGCCGGGCGGTGGTGGCACACGCCTTTAATCCCAGCACTTGGGAGGCAGAGGCAGTTGGATTTCTGTGAGTTCGAGACCAGCCTGGTCTACAAGAGCTAGTTCAGGATGCTCCAAAACCACAGAGAAACCCTGTCTCGAAAAACCAAAAATAATAATAATAATAATAATCTGAGGACTAAGTATATAACTCAGTTGTTAGAGTACTTACTTAGCACGCACGAAGCTTTGGGTTCTATCCCCCAAAACTGGCACAGAAAATGCACAACTGTAATCTCAGAATTTGGGCAGGAAAGACAGGAGGATCTTAAGGCCAGTTTCATAATATCAATGCCTCTTTATGTACATAATAATGCCTTAATAAACTCTTCTAGGATAGAAATGTTTCCTACTAGCTGGGTGGTGGTGGTGGCTGTGGTGCACGCCTTTAATCACAGCATTCAGGAGGCAGATCTCTGTGAGTTCGAGACCAGCCTGGTCTACAGAGCGAGTTCCAGGACAGCCAGGGCAACACAAAGAAACCCTGTTCTGAAAATAACAACATCAAGAACAATAAAATGCTTCCTATGAACAACCCCTGCCCCCGCCTGACACACTCTGATAAATATTGTCCTAAACTAATAACCAATAGTTATTGTCTTTGGGTAGTTCTGATTGCCACTACTTTGTGCAGTTTCTGAATTAATTATTATGACATATTCCAAGATGCTGATAAATGGAAAATAGGTTTTCTCTCATTAGTTCCTGTCACAACGTCTACATGCCTTGTAAAGGACCTGAAATGCTGGATATTTAGGGAGTTTCAAAATGCACAGGCAGACCCTTGAGAGCCAGTCCCTTTCATTCCCAGCCAGAGTTTTCATTCAGTTTTGTTTTTTCCACTCATTTAAGGTATGCCTTGAGAAACGGAAACCGAAACAGAAAGCCGCTCTGACTTCTGGTGACTCCGCCTCTTGACACCCACAGCTCACACACTTAAAAGAGCTGACCCAGCCTCTGGCTGTGCCGGTGAGCAGCCAGAAGCTGAGACAAGCATCAGTTCCTGCAAGGGGGCCTAGTGCTAAAGCCTACAGACATGGTGAGTCCGATTTGGGACAGAGGCAGATGGGCTCGATTTTTGTTGACTTTCCTTCATTCCTTGATAGGATCTTCCAGAGGCAAAATAGTCACAATTTGAACCATATTTGCTCAAAGATCACTACTTGGGAGGGACTAGATCCCTTAGGGCTTGGCCCAGAAGGATATCTTGGTGGGTGACCCGAAACGTGATGGCTCTGGGAGGCTGGCCCTTTAGATGGGGGTGGGCTATGGGAACTGGTCCTGTGACCAGTGCTTTGAATGTAGTAACTCCCGGTACTGGTGCCAGATGAGACTCTAAACCAGTGCTTCTCAACCTGTGGGTTGAGACCCCATTGGGGTCAAATGACCCTTTCAAGAGGGGTTGCATATAAGATATCCTGCATATCAGATATATCGATTATGATTCATAACAGTAGCAAAATTGGTTATGAGGTAGCAATGAAAATAATTTTATGGTTGGGGATTACCACAACGTGACGAACTATATTAAAGGGTAGCAGCTTCAGGAAGGTTGGGAACCACTGCTAAAACCGTGTGATTCCTGCAGTCCTGGAACCTGAAGGTGAAGACGCTGAGTGAAGAGTTCCTGGTGTCCCTGACTGACTCCGCGACATTGTCGGAACTGAAGAGGCAAATTGCTCGGAAGATTGGCGTGGCAGCTTTCCAGCAGCGCCTGGCCAACCAAAGTGGCGAGGTGCTGCGAGACAGTGGTACTCTCATCGGCCAGGGCCTGGTCCCTGGCAGCACAGTCATGTTGTTGGTACAGAATTGCAACAACCCTCTGAGCATCCTGGTGAAGAATGACAGGGGCCGCAGCACCATTTATGAGGTCCGGCTGACACAGACAGTAGCAGAGCTTAAGAGGCAGGTGTCCCTTAAGGAGCAAGTACAGGAAGACCAATTCTGGCTGAGCTTTGAGGGAAAACCCATGGAGGACAGAGAGCCCCTGGGGGAGTACGGCCTAAAGCCCCAGTGCACAGTGCTCATGAATTTGCGCCTGCGGGGAGGGGGATGCTATGCCTAAGGCCTCTATCCAGAGCCAATGTTGGTAATTAAAAGTGATCCAATGTAAAGTTCTGCCTCCTGTTTGCTTGTCCTCCTTCAGAAATGCCCATCTGTGGCTGCCCTTCTACAACCCTGCCGAGGTCAAGTAAAAGAACCCAGGTCCATCCATTGTGACAAAGCTTTGGGTTGCCAAGTTAGAGACAAGGATTTTACAGTTAAAGCCTCCTAAGAGAATTATCTTCCAAACCTTTGGGTAATTCACGCCTAGAGAATGACACTTTTTCTGGGACCCAGTTCTGAGGCTCAGCCGCTCAACAACTGGTCCCCATCTCTGTATCTGGCTCACATGCCCACAAAGGAAATCATATCTCAGATAGGATGCACACAATTTGGAAACGTTTCATCCCCTTCCTGCCTGATATTTCTATCTCTTGTCTTTTCCCACTCTATCTACTTACTCAGGCTTTGAGGCAGCCTAAGGCACAGTAAGTCAGGACAAATATCTCTATGGCCCTGGGGGCCTAACACTTTGAACCTTCAGACCTTTACAGAGAATTTAAGTGGAGACTCAGAAGCCCCCACTTCTGGTTGGAGTGACCCCAGATCTAGCAATGCTGTTGTCCACTGTGTAGATGTGACCTCAAATCTTCACTGACCACCATCTTCCTTGAAGGCTGCCAGGGTCCTGG